AGGAGGAAAGGAAAAGGAGAGAGGAGAGACTGAAGAGAGAGAGAAGGTTAGAAGAGGAAAAGGAAAAGCAGGAAAAGGAGGAGGCGGCGAAACGAGAACAAGAGCAAGAGGAGAAGGTAAGGGAGAAGGAAGAAAAGGAAGAAATGGGAGGGAGGCAGGAGATAGACGAGAGAGAAGGGAGATGGAGAGTGGTGGAGAGGAAGAGGCACAATGGAGAACAGGAAGACAGGAGAGGAGGGAAAGGGACAGAGATGAAGAGAAAGGAGAAGGCGCAGAGAGAGGAGGAGCAAAAGAGGAAGGAGGAAGAAGAAGAGAGAGAAAGGAGGCGTGAGATAGAGGAGACGAATAGGAGAGAGAAGGAAAGGGAAGAACTAGAAAGAAACGAGGAGGAGAAGAGCGGAGAGAAGGGAGGTGAAGAAGACAGAAGAGGCAAAGGTAAAAGAGAGGAGAGAAAACAAGAGTTGATGAAAAAAGGAGAGAGAGAAATAAGGAAAGAAAGAGACAAGGAGAAGGAGAGAACAGAGGCAGAGAAGGCAGAGAAAGCGGAACGGTGGAAAGAGGTAGAAGAAGATACACAGAGAGAGGAAAAGCTTAGGAGAGAAAGAGAGGAAAGAAGAGGAAGAAGAACAATATGGAAAGGGGTGGAAGGAAAGGATAAGGAGGAGAGAAGATAGAAGAGGTGATAGAGGAGTGGATGGGAAGAGAGACGAAGGTAGAAAGGTGCATAGAAAGGCAGGGAGAGGGGGGAGAGTAGTAGTTATAGTATAAATGAAAGAGGCGAGGGACAGGAGAGAGATTTTGGTAGGTAGGGAATGGATAAGAAGGAACTGGGGAATAAGGATAGATGAGGATTTGAGTATGGAGGAGAGGAGAGTTAGGTGGAGAATGATAGAAAGGGCAAAGATAGAAAGGGAAAAGGGAAGGGAGGCATGGGTGGAGAATAGAATATGGGTAGACGGGAAGGAATGGAAGTGGATAGGGGAGGAGAAGGAGAGAAATAGGAGTGAAGGGGAGTCGAGCGGGTAAAAGGTAAAAGTATAGCACGTTGTTGAGCATGTAAATAAAAGGTAGTCTGTTTATAGGAACAAAAAGGAGAGGAAGCGGAAGGAGGAAGGAGAGATGAGAGAGAGGAGAAGGATACAAAAGGAAAAGGAGGAAGGAGAGAGACGAAGATCGGGAGGAAGGAGAAGCAGGATTGATGGAGTGGAGGAGACGATAAAGAGAGGAGAGAAGGAAGGAAGGGAGCGTGGCAGAAGAATAGGAGAAGATGAGGAAGAGGAGAGGGAGAAGAGAGGGAGGATAGGGGGAGGGGAACGAGGGGAGGGGGGAAAAAGAATGTAATGGTCGCATAAGGCCAGGTCGCGATAGGAGGGTTAAGACTAGAGATGTAAAGGGTTTGGGAACGCTCCCTACAAAAGTGCCAATCAAGATCATACACAGATCTGTAAGAGGATTGGGTACGTTCCTTAAAAACGCCTTGTAAACCCCGAGGGGCAACAATAAACATATACATACATAGTAATATTATAGTGGATTAAGGTTTTTTGAAAAATTGAGATTAGAAACAGGATTAGTAGAAATAAAAGACAAAATTTAGGTGAGGAAATTTTTTGAAACGTATATTAAAATTGGAAATCAAAAGGTTCATCGGTTAAGGAGATTGGGGAACAAAGAAATACAAACCGACAAGCTGTGTAATAAACCTACGTATAATGGTCAATACGAAAAACAATATTTTTTATTATAAAAATGTTAACTTCATTTAAATGAATATTGAAATAAAATATAAAGTGAAGTATTTCTAAAGCAATAAATAAATAGTTTAATTGTTTAGGTTATAGTTGATAGTAGTGTTTTGTATAAAAGAAATTGTAGAATTGGAAAACAATTGATTTATTTTGAAGGAAATTAAATTAGAGAAAAGTAAAAGATAGGAATAATTTTTTAAAAATGCCTAAGTTAAAATCAAAATTGGGAAGGAAAACTCCTAGGACGATATTGGAATCTATCAGAAGACAACATGAAAATACAGACAGGCATGATGAACGCGTTTCTAAAATTGGAATGGCAAGATCTAGGAGACATGCACAGGAGAGTAGTATACAACGAGAATTGCGAATGTTGAGACAGCGTACGCAATCAAATGAAAATAGAAACCGAGAATCGACAACCCAGAGAGTCGAGCGAATTGAAAATCAATATTTCAGGACGTCAATCAAAAGAAAAAATGAATCAAACATTGAACGTATAAGTATATTACATATTACTTATATGATACACGGACCTTGTGGGAGGTACAATAGAGTCTCACCATGCATGAATAATAATAGGTGTTCAAAAAAATATCCTAGGAATTTCCTTGCAGAAACACAAACCGGAAATGATGGGTATCCAACATACAGACGAAGAAATCTAGAGAATGGAGGTCAAACTGCAAACATTAATTTACGAGGAAAAACAGTGGAGATAGACAATAGATGGGTTGTGCCATATTGTCCAATGTTGTTGAGATGCTTTGTTGCACATATAAATGTTGAGTATTGCCACTCGGTACAGGCAATAAAATACATATGTAAATATATTAATAAAGGATCAGATCAGGCTACGTTTACGGTACAGAATAAAAGAGATGAAATTAAAAATTACATTAATGGTCGTTACATAAGTACTTCAGAGGCAATGTGGAATTTTTTGAATTTCAAATTCATGAAAGATATCCAGCAGTAATACATTTAGCCGTTCATCTAGAAAATGGACAACGCGTTTATTTTACAGACAAAAACTTAAAACTAATTTTCGAAAATCCGAGAAAAACTACACTTATGGCATTTTTTGAATTGTGCAGGAATAATGATTTTGCAAAGACACTTTTATATCACGTGGTACCAATGTATTACACTTGGAATAAAAATTTGTTTATAAGAAGAAAACGTGGAGAGGATGTAGAAGGATATCCCAGAATAAAAAAAGATACAGCACTAGGAAGAATTTATACTATTCATCCAAAACAAACAGAGTGTTTTTATTTAAGAATGTTACTGCACCATGTCCGAGGGCCAACATCATTTGAGAATATAAGAACTGTAAATGGTGTGGTGAAATCTACTTTTCAGGATGCGTGCCAAGAACTTGGTTTATTAGAAAACGATAACCAATGGAAAGACACACTTGCAGAGGCTGCGATTTTGAGGTCGGCGTCAAGGATGAGAGAATTGTTTGCAATAATTTTAGTATTCTGCCAACCGGCTAAACCAAGTATATTATGGGAAATATTCGAACAAAATTTATGTGAGGACATTTTATTAAGAGAGCAACGACGATATAATGATAAGACAATAATGTTATCCGAGGAAATCATCAACCAAGCGCTGTGTGAATTAGAAGATAAGGTAGTAGCATTGAGTGAAAAATATTTAGTTAATTACGGTATGCCTATACCTAAACGTAGTGAAAAAAATGCGGGAGATCTATATGACGTGATTTTAAAATGTCCATTTGATAAAAAAGAGATGCAAGATTATGTAAGTGAAAACCTACCTAAATTAGTGCCAGATCAGAGACAAGCATTCGAAAAAATTATTGACAGTGTTATCTATAATCGAGGAAATGTATTTTTTTTGGATGCTCCTGGAGGAACAGGAAAGACTTTTTTAATCAATTTACTATTGGCAAAGGTGAGATCAACATGTGGTATAGCCATAGGAGTGGCATCGTCAGGTATAGCAGCAACTTTAATAAGTGGGGGTAGAACAGCACATTCAGTTTTTAAACTACCTTTAAATCTATTTACGGAAAGAGAAACAGTTTGTAGTATTCGTAAAAACGGAACACTAGGGAAAATAATACAAGAAACAAAATTAATAGTGTGGGATGAATGCACGATGAGTCATCGAGCACATATTGAATCAATTGAACGAACTTTAAGAGATCTAAAATCATGCAATAAATTAATGGGAGGGATAACAATGGTTTATGCGGGAGATTTCAGACAGACCTTACCAGTAATTGCAAAAGGTACTCGAGCAGACATTGTAAAAGCGTGTATAAAATCATCTTGGATATGGAATAATATGGAAAAGTTAAATTTGAGAACAAACATGAGAGCACACTATGGAGGAGGAGACATCGAATTTACAAGCAAAATATTAAAGATAGGAGAGGGAAAAATAGAAAATGAAAAGGGAAATATAACTATTGATCGGAAAATAGGAAAGATTGTTAATAATATAATAGATTTAATTTTCAAAGTTTATCCTGATGTAGAAAATATATTACAAAAAAATTATCAATGGTTATGCAAACGAGCAATTGTATCGCCAAGAAACGCGTCTGTGGAGGAAATAAACAATATTATTTTAGATAAATTGAATGGAGAAATAAAAGAATATAAATCTATAGATACTGTAATTAATAGTGAGGATGCAGTACACTATCCGCATGAATTTTTGAATTCACTAAAACCATCAGGTTTCCCACCGCATCATCTAAAACTAAAAGTCGGAGCACCAATTATATTATTAAGAAATCTGAATCCACCAAATTTATGGAATGGAACTAGATTGCAGATTAAAGTAATGCGTATAAACATAGTAGTAGATTTATTGCTTCCCTTAGGTTACAAGGCGTTTTTACGGAACGTTCCCAAACCTCTCGGCTCTCCTACTCCTCTCTCTACATTATCCATATCACAACTATATTGGCGCTTTTTCCAGGGAGCGTTCCCGAACCCTTTCCAATTCTTTTCCCCCACTCCTCGCGACCTGGCCGTATGCGACCTTTACATTTTCTTACCCCCCTCCCTCTCGGCCCTCCCTCTGAACCTCCCTCCCTTTCTTCTGCCACGCATCCTTCCGTCCGTCTCTTCCTCTTTCCTTCCGCTTCCATCTCCTTTCTCCTTCCTCTGTCTCTCTCCTTAGCCAGTCTCTTATCGCCGTTCTGATTTTCTGCGCTCTCTCCTCCCTGTCCTTTCTCCACCTGTCATCCACTCCTACTGCTCTTCCCTCCTGTGTCTCCCTTCTCTCTTTCTTACTCTCCTCTTCCGCCCCCTCTCCTTTCTCCTTCCTACAATCAAAATCAAAATTAAAATCAGAATTCAAAATTACTATCCTTTTAACCACTGGATTCTCCTCCCTCCCCCCCCCCCCTCCGCCCCCTGTCCCTTCTCCTCTTCCTCTCCGCTCTCATCGTCTCCTCCCTCCGTCTTACTCTCCGCTACTTCCTTCCTCTTCCCCTCTCTCTTCTCTTCCTTCCCCCGTCTCTCCATCCTCCATCTCACCTCCCCTGTCTCTCTCTTCTCCATCCACTCCATCCACCTTTGTCCGCTCCTTCTTCCTTCCATCCTCCTCTTCACCGATCTCTCTCCTTACCCGTCCATTTCTTTTCTCATTCTCCTCGACTCTCCTCTTCCTCTTCCTTCTCCTTCGCTTCTTCTTTCTCCTATTCCTTCTCTCTCCTCTCTTTCTTCTTCTCCTTCCGTCTTACTCTCCGCTACTTCCTTCCTCTTCCCCTCACTCTTCTCTTCCTTCCTCCGTCTCTCCATCTTCCATCTCTCCTCCCCTCTCTCTCTCTCCTCCATCCCCTCCTTCCACCTTTGTTCGCTTCGTCTTCCTTCCATCCTCCTCTTCACCGATCTCTCTCCTTACCCGTCCATTTCTTTTCTCATTCTCCTTGACTCTCCTCTTCCTCTTCCTTCTCCTTCGCTTCTTCTTTCTTCTATTCCTTCTCTCTCCTCTCTTTCTTCTTCTCCTTCTTATCCTCTTCCTCCCTTGCTCCCTTTCTCTCTCTCTCTCTCTCTCTCTCTCTCTCTCTCTT